TGCCTGAAGAATTCCATGGACAGAGGAGCCTGGTGGGCTACAGTCCATGGGGTCACGAAGAGTCAGACATGACTTAGCGATTAAACAGCAGCAAGCAGCAGCAAGAATATCCCATTTTTTATGTATACGTGTTTGTATGTATATGAATGTGTACACACACATGTTAAAATTTATCCATTCAGGCATCAGTGGGCGCTGGAAATTTAGGCTGTTTCTGTATCTTGGCTATCATGAATAAGGCTGCAATGAACATGGGGGTGCAAATATCTTTTTGAGTTAGTGTTTTCATTTGAGATAAACAATCAGAAGTAGAGCTGCTAGATCGTATGGTAGTTGTATTTTTAATTTCTTAAGGAACCACCATACTGTTTTCTGTAGGGGCTATGCCAGTTTACATTCCCACCAACAGTGCACAAAGGTTCTCTCTCCACATCCTTGCCAACACTTGCTATCTCTTGCCTTTTTGATAATAGCCATTCTGATAGGTTTGAGGTGATACCTCATTGTGGTTTTGATTTGTATTTCCCTGATGATTTAGCATATTTCCGTGTACCTGTTGGCCATCTGTATGTCTTCTTGGGGAAAATGTCTATTCAGATCTTCTCCTCATCTTCAAATCAGATTGTTTGTTTTTGCTGAGTTGTATGAGTTCTTTATATATTTTGGATATTACCCCATATCAGATATATGATTTGCAAATATTTTCTCCCATTCAGTAGGTTGCCTTACATTAGCTTTTGAATAAGATGATGTCCCCATTATTTATTTTTCCTTTTGCTGCTTTTGCTTTTGGTGTCAGATTCAAAAAGTTTTTGCCAAGACCTACATTAAGGAGATTACTACCTATGTTTTCTTCTGGCTTTATGGTTTCAGGTCTTACATTTAAGTCTTTGATCCATTTTTAATTTATTTTTGCACATAATGTGAGATAGTAGTCCAGTTTTATTCTTTTGCATATAGCTCTCCACTTTTCCCAACACAACTTTTTGAAGAGACTCTTCTTTCCTCCTTGTATATCCTTGTCTCCTTTGTCTTGAATTAATTGACCATGTATGTATGGGTTTATTCTTTTCATTTTTTTAATGTGACTGTTAGGTCATTTAAAATTATTTGTGTAGCTCATAAAGATCTTCCCTGGTGCTCAGCAGTAAAAAATCCACCTGCCAGTTCAGGAGATGGGTTAGATCCCTGGGTCAGGAAGATCCCCTGGAAAAGGAAATGGCAATCCACTCCAGTATCCATGCCTGGGAAATCCCATGGACAGAGGAGCCTGATGAGCTACAGTCATGGTGTCACAAAAAGTCTGAAATAAACAAATAAACGTAGCTCATAGTATATTTCCGTTGGACAGAGCTGACCTAGACTATAGGTTCCTTGAGGCCAAAAATGGTGTCTGACACATATTAGATAGTCAATGCATGTTTGATAAATCAAACTGTTGATATGAAGTGAATGAATAGATGAGAATTATAATTTTTTAAAGTAATGATTTTGACACTGTGGATGGATTTAGAAGGTGATAGGTCAGATGAAATGGATTTTGTCAGGAAGTCTTTAAATGTTTATTAATTTTCCCCAGTAAATGGGACTGAAACATACATTAAAAGAGATGCAAGTTCTGGCAGCAGCTGCTACTCATGAGACATTGAGATATTCCCTGTACAGACTAACCTAATTTTGCTACCTTTGTTTTGCGTGCTAGATTGCTTCAATTGTGTCCGACTCTTTGTGATTACATTGATGGTAGCCCACCAGGCTCCTCTGTCCATGGGATACTCCAGATAAGAATACTGGAGTGGGTTGCCATGCCTTTCTCTCCTTTGTTCTAGTGCCATATATAATATAGAACTTTATTTAGGAGTGATCCATTTCCAGAGAGAATTTTTCCTGTGTATAATTTAGCTGTGGTTCTCAGACTTTAATGTGCCTAAAAGTCACTTGCAAAGCCTGCTACAAATGCAGATTCCCAAAGCCATTTCCAGAAATTCTGATTCATTAGGTAAGAGATGGCACCCAGGAATCTGCATGTTACCACCCTGGAAGATTCCAGCATAACCCGTAAACAGTACCTTGAGGAACACTGCTGTGTGGAAGCATAATCTGGGAGTAGGCTGAAAGTTCAGGTAGAAGAGGCAGGTTGCTTAGTGATTTTCCCCTTCTCCAGGGGATCTTCCAACCAGGGATTGAACCCAGGTCTCCTACTTTGCAGGCAGATTCTCTACTGTCTGAGCCACCAGGAAAGCCCATTATACTATAAAGAACTCAAATTGGTAAATACTTTAATACTCAAAAGTTGCAGCAAAGGAAACAACAGTGAAAAGGCAACCTACCAAATGGAAAAAGATATTTGCAAACCATATATTAGATAGGAGGTTAATATCCAGAATACAGAAAGAACTCCTACAATGCAATGACAAAATAACCTACTCGATTATAAAAAAAATAGGTAAAGGACTTGACATTTCTCCAAAGAAGATATGCAAATTGCCAGTAAGCACATGAAACAGTGCTCAATGTGCACATGGTCAGGGAAATGCAAGTCAAAACCACAATGAGATACCCCCTTACACCCATTAAGATGGTTGCTATCAAAAGAACAACAAACAAAATAATGAGTGTTGGTGAGGATGCAGAGAAATTAGAATAATTGAAGCCCTGTTGGTCGGACTGTAAAATATGCACTTGCTATGGAGAAAAGTACAGAGATTCCTCAAAAAAATCAAAAATAGAACTGCTGCTATGTGATCCAGCAATCCCACTTCCTGGTGTATATCTAAAAAAGATAAAAACAGGATCTTGAAGAGATATTTGCACACTGATCATTCACAGTAGCAGAAATTTGGAAACAATCTAGATGTCCATCAGTGGATGAATGGATTAAAAAATGTGCTATATATACACAATGGAGTATTATTTAGCATTAAAAAGGAAGGAAAACCTATTCTGTCCTACAATATGGATGAACCTTGAGGACGTTATGCTAAGTGGGTTGCCATGTCCTCCTCCAGGGGACCTTTCTGGCCCAGGGATCGAACCCGCGACCTTTACATCTCCTGCATTGCAGGGGGGTTCTTTGCCACCAGCGCCACCTGGGAAGCCCAAGTGAAAGAAGCCAGTCACAAAAAGACAAATACTTTAGTGTTCCACTTATATGAAGTACCTAAGAGAGTCAAACTGTATAGTAGAGTGATAATTGTCAGGGTCTGGGGGGAGGCAGAAATGGGGAGTTGTTCAATGCGGGTCGAGTTTCAATCATGCAAGATGAAAACATTCTGGAGCTCCGTTGTACGACAGTGCACAGATGGGTAACAGTACTGTACTGTTTACTTAAGATTGTTCCAAGGACAAATTTGTTATATGGCTTTTATCATAATACAAAATTAATTAAAAAGTATCAACTATCCTAATAGTTCATGGTGATACCAAACTCAAGGAAAGAATATCATTTGTTTCCTTGGATAATACCTTTTTGTGAGAAATTTTGTTGGAAGCCTTGAGCTACATAAAATAAATGTGCACTTGCTGTGAAGCTGTGTGGGTGGTGAGAGGAACAGAAGCTTGTGACCTCTCCATGATTTATTAAATAGAAGGCAAGCCTTACTCATCGTGAGTGTCATTCCCAAAGCAACTTGTCCAAAAACCTGAATGCTCTCCAGGAGGAAGATCGTGGGATGCTGTCATCTCAGAGGCATCCGACACGCTAAGAAAATGTCATCCTTTCTCTCTCGTGTCCCCATACCTGAAGCCTGGAATATCAGAACCTCAATTGCATTTCCCTTGAAACATTTAAGAAATTCCTTAGAAACTCAAATCGTTTTAGGGATCCTGGTTGCCAGGATCGTTTCCGAGGCAGAGGGAGAACGATGTGGTTGATGATGTTGGAGCAGCCAGAGCCTTCATACAATGAGCGCTCACTCTGGCAGCCAGCAAGCCGTCTGTGTCTGGTCAGAGGCCACTCATTTAGGTAATGAGTTCTCCATTCATTCTGGTAACTGGTAGGCACATGTGGCTGGTTGGGCTGGCTCTTCCCCTCCCTGGGTTTGCCTAGCTCCCATAACTGGGGCAAATGGTGAGTCTTTGCAATGCTATGGACTATAGCCCACCAAGCTCCTCTGTCCATGGGGTTTCCTAGGCAAGACTACTGGAGTGGGTTACCATTTCCTTCTCCAGGGGATCTTCCTGATGGAGGGATGGAACCTGGGTCTCCGGCATTGCAGGCGGATTCTTTACCGACTGAGCCACCAGGAAAGCCCAGGGCAAATGGAGTGAAGTGCAAAGGCATCAAGTGACTCCCGTATTTACTAATGAGATGAAAATACAGTACTGGATTCATCAAAACTGAAATAATCACATTTTCTTCCTTTGTACCTTTATGGTGTTTTGTTTTGGCTTCTCTTTTTGTTTGCTTTTGTTTTGGCAATGTGCTGGTTTACTTTTCAGAAATATTAATTATGAGAGATTTAAAATCTAGAGAGACATACAGATGCAGTATACTCACGACCTAGCTTATCAAAGAAAACATTGTGGGTACAAAGTCTCTGTATATGCCTCTCAAATAATATTCCCTGTCCCTACTTCCGTGGTAGCTGCTATCTGGAATTTAGTGTCTGTCTTCCTAAGCATTTCTTTATACCTTCACTATATAATGCCTGTAATATTTCAATAGTACAGAGTATTGCTTGCATGTTATGGCCTCATTTTCTATAGTCTTCTGCAACCTGCCCTTTTCATTCAACCTGCCTATTTACTGCTTAAACCTCATTTGGGATATTTCTTCTAGTGTTACTTAGCTAAACTACTCTAGATGCTGGGGTACAGTGTTACTGTAGAGTAATGTTTGGCTCCCAAAATGGCTTAGATTGAAAAATGTTACGTGTCAAATTAATGTAATAGTAGTATAGTATGTAACTGTTAAATGTATTTGTTTTATTTCAGGTTATAATATAACTTATCCTCTCATGCTTTTTCCCTGCCCCTTCTTCCCAAATCATCAACAGTAGAAAAAAGAAGAAGGAGGAACCATGTCAGGACACAAATGGTAAATAATTTGTTGTCTCTTCTGAATTGGGGGAGGCTACTGAAAAAGGAGAGCATTTAGTATATACTCAGTAAATGTCTACTGAATGGAAAAATCAGGAGTCACAATAGCCGTAAATAACCTATCAGCCTTCAACCAATGTTGAGAATGTGCTATGCTGTGCTGTGCTTGGTCGTTCAGTCGTGTCCGACTCTCTGCAACCCCATGGACGGCAGCCCACCAGTCTCCTCTGTCCGTGGGGACTCTCCAGGCAAAAATACTGGAGTGGGTTGCCGTGCCCTCCTCAGGAGATATTTCCAACCCAGGGATCCAAGCCAGGTCTCCCGCATTGCAGGCGGAGTCTTTACCATCTGAGCCACCAACAAAGCTCCCATGCTGAGGACAGTCAAGTTCAGTACCCCTACTAAATGGAATGTGAAAAGCTATAACCAAAAATAGTCTCTGAGAAATCCATTTACATGTAACTTTTTTTCTTGGAAATCTAGTGATAGCTTTTCTTACCATCATTTTTTCGGTGTAATGAGTTGATACAGTTTTCAATCTCTGTCTTATTTACAACTTTTAATATTAGAGTTATAAGGGAATTTTATATAGGGCAGCTGTAAAATAACAATGTAACTGTATAATGACAAAAATAACTCAGACTCATTAATTAATAACTCAGAAGTCATTAGTAGTCATGACTTCATCCTTCATGAACATCCAGGAGCCAGTCATTGCTAGAAATAGATGATGCTGAATAAAACAGATGTGGTCCTCACACAGCAATCATTAGCACTGCCATTCACATGCCTATAACTCATCTAAGCATCATGTTAAACTGCTTATAAATTCAGGTCTGCTATAAGCAGTGTTTCTGAATCCTTTTGAAACCTTGATCCACTGGGCAAGGTAATCTTTGTCATGCTTTACCTCCTTTAATTTGTACCATGAAAAAAATACAGTGCCTATTTTCATTTTTCAAAGGTACAATTAATTATAATAAAGACTATACTTTTTAATCCCTCCTCTCTCAGTCTAGAAGCAATCAGGTCCAACTCCTCAGTAATATCGACAGTCACACTTTAAAAGAACTTTGCATGTCTTAAAATATAATGAGCTTTAAAAGGTAATGAGTAAACAGCTAAGGGATTTTGTTTCCCTGAGTGTCCCCATTTGATAACTCTTAGAGAGTTGTCAGACTGTTTTTGTAATTGTTCCATCTTGCCTCATTAAGACAAAAGGCTGGCTTCATCCTCTGGCTCTCTTAATGGCTGTCATATCTTGGCAGCAGGCGCAGAGAAGCAGGTAGTTAAGTCCCCCACTTAACTACTTGGGAAAGCCCCAGGAGGTGGGCCCCTCCCCAGAGCCTTTCTCCCATTTACCTTATGAAGCCACTTTACCACTTGCTACTGAAATGTGATGGCCGCAGAAAACATTGAAATGCATGCTGCACTGGGATTTAGAGGCTTGGATTTTAATCCTGTGTGATTCTGGACAAGATTCTTAACATTTTGAAAACTGAGATTCCTCATTTGTTAAATGACAGGAGTGAAAGGTGTTGACTAGATCTCCAAAGTCCTTTTTTTCCCCCTCAAAATGAAAAAAAATTTTAATCTATAACCTTTGACCAAAAAAAAAAAAAAAAACAATAGAAGTCCGTCCTATTCCCCATCTTGAAAATGCCTTTCCCTTGAAATAGCCACAGTTTGGGGAAGTATATTCTCCCATCTTTTTTTTCAGCTGCTCTGGGTGTCTGTTGCTTTGCGTGGGCTTTCTCTAGTTGCAGTAAGTGGGGGCTACTCTTTGTTGCAGTACGCGGTCTTTTCGTTGTGGTGGCCTCTCGTTGCAGAGCACAGACTCTGAAGTGTGTGTAGTGATGGCACGCTAGAGTGTGCAGGCTTCAGTAGTTGCAGCACACAGGCTCAATAGTGGCGGCACACAGACTTAGTTGCTCCGTAGCATGTGGACTCTTCCTGGACCAGGTATTGAACCCATGTCCCTTGCACTGGCAGGCAGATTCCCAATCACGGGGCCACCAGGAAAGTCCTCTTCCCATCTTTTAATGCACATAGTATGTAGAAGGATTATCTTTTATACAAAAGTTATACATATTTTCATTTCCTTTTCTCTGATTTAAGCTCATAATAAAACCTTTTAATTTGCATTTAATTTTAAATAATAATTATATATATTTAAGATGTGCAACATGATATGATATACATAGTGAAATCATTGCTGCAGTTAAGCTAATTAACATATCATCTCCTTTATAGTTACAGCTTTTTGTGTGTGATGAGTGCACATGAAGAGTAATGCTCCCCTCCCAGCCTGTTTTCAGTGTTCAGTACAGTATTAAGTGTGGTCACCGTTCCTATACATTTGTTATCTAGACTCAATCCAAACTTTGAAATAATGCAGAAAGATATAAGCCATAATCCTTCACCTCTTTCTAAAGATAACCACTGCTAAGGAAGTCATCTGAAACTCTGATTTTTTAAGAACAAGTGTGTGAATCAAAACTTGTAAATATTATCTGGCAAGAGAGTATAAATCATCAAGGTTTGAAATACATATTTTGGTGCAATAGTATAAAGCAATTTCTGTTTTAGAGCCCAAGTATGGCACATTTGAGTGCCAATAGGATGGGATGGAAGAAGTTATGTGTCTGTAGAGGGAGACACCTGGGGGTCCCATGTGGACCTCTGGATGGGAACCCTAGACACACAGGAGATGGTGTAGACAAAACCAGGCAGGATGGAGCCCCATAGCAAGCTTTCTGTCAGGATTTGGGTACCCTGGTCATTTTTATAGAATTCCACTTCATTCTCAATTGGGTTTTTTCAAATTTCTTCTTTACACCCCCTTTTAAAAAGCTTTTTATTTTGTATTGGGATATAGGCAATTAATAATGTTGTGATAGTTTGAGGTGAACAGCGAAAGGACTCAGCCATACATAGATATGTATTCATTCTCCCCCAAACTCCCCTGCCATCCATATCACTGAGCAGAGTTTCCTGTGCTATACAGCAGATCCTTGTTGGTTATCTATTCTAAAAACATGTGTACATGTCCATCCCAAAGTCCCCAGCTGTCCCTCCCCCTCATCCTTCGCACAGCAACCATTAGTTCATTCTCTGAGTCTATTCTTGAGTCTATTTTGATGTGATCTTCACTGTGCTATTCCTGAAGAATAGCTTCCTATCTGTATGTTAACCATTTATGTTTAAGAATTTAAAGTTTTAGTATGAAAAATCCATAACCCATTAAAAAACTTTTTTTTTCAAAATTTCTCCTGTCTGTAGTAAGAACACTTGACATGGGATCTCCCGTTTTAACAAAACGTTAAGTGTAGAATACAGTGCTATGAACTACAGGCGCGAGGTTGCACAGCCGACCTCTAGAACTTACGCGTCTTGCACCGCTGAAATTTTATGCCTGTCGATCAGTCATTTCCCCTTTCCTCCTCCCTGCCCAGCCTCAGGGAACCACCATTCTGTCCTCTGACTCTGTGAGTCTGACGAGGTGAGGGAGCTCTGTGACAGCTTTCAAGTACGCTGTTTTGCAGTCCCTTATCCTCTGCTTTTCTGCCATCGCTTCACTGCTGGCTGCACTGCAGGCGGGAGAGAACTTTGGTGTCCGGCTTTATCTCTGGCTCCCTGGGGTGCATGAGGCAGTCCCCCTGCCTGGCTTGGCTTCCCTTTCTCCATTTCTCCAGTCTTTCAATATCCACGGTCCTCAAGGTTGAGTTTCTCGGTTTCCTGCCAAAGTTTCTTAATTTCCTCACTACCTTTTAATGTTTTGGTGTAAAAATTAGATTTGATTAAGCTTTTGGTGTAATAACCATGTAAGAAAGTACTTCTGGGTTTAGTAACGTTGTGAATGTTTGGATACATTTGTTTGCGCTCTGATGTCTTAAATCTTTTTGAAAGCCATGAGTAAAATGGTTCTTTGAACGCCTGTGCCTTTTAGCAGTTATCCCTGGGACTTACACAATCGATATCCCCAAGACAAGTCAGTTGTAAATAAGATGCAGCAGAAGTATTGGGAGACGAAGCAGGCCTTTATTAAAGCCACAGGGAAGAAAGAAGATGAGCACGTTGTTGCCTCGGACGCAGACCTGGACGCCAAGCTAGAGGTGAGCACTTCATGACCCTTGACCCCAGTATGCCCATCTTGCTAGGGTCAGAGTTCTGAGAGTGTATTCACAGAAGCAAGCATATAGGTGTGCTTTGGGTTTGAAAACATTGCAAGCAAACTCGTTCATGAGGAAAATCTAGGATCAGATCAACTGAATTCCAGCATATTTTTTTTAAACCCACAAATTCTTCTGTGACCACCAGTATACCTCAGTTAATTCATTTTTTAAACACTCTATTGAAATGGATGGAATGTGGTAAATTCTCAATGAATATTTATTGAAAAACATTAACTAAAAGAGCCAGTGCTATTATAGATAGCAATGCTAGGGTCAGACAAATATTTACATTTAAAGAAAAAAAAGGATGACAGCAAAAAGTCCTGGAATGTGAGTCTAATAAGGTTGTGTTGAATCCTGGAAAATTCAAGAATGAATTAACTAATATTTAGTTCGACTAGTTAATAACACACTAAGCTGAATTAGTAGCTGATTGACTCTCAAATAACTGGTGAAAGGGCCACTAATTCCCTACCTTGCTGGACATTCTGCTGATACTTTAGATCAAAATTTAAAAAAACATTTGCTGTACATCAGAAGCTAACACAACATTGTAAACCAACTATACCCCCCAAAAAATTAATCTAAAAAAATTTAAAAGCATACTTATCACTTCTGGGAATGAGAGGGCAGAGAGAGAAATAATGTGTTATGTGGTCTGATAAGAATTCAGAGTGATATCAAAATATAAGCTACAGTGCATGAGCTGAACACTTAATGAGAGGAAGGTCAGAAGTTCAAGATTTCAGAAAGCATTCTGAGAAGGGTGTGGCCAGGATGGTGTAAACCATGCTTATTCTGGAAAAGAGAGGCTGAAGGGGCAATGTTAGTCACCGATTCTCTGGGATGGGCTGTCACGTGGATGAGAACTAGGTTCATCCTGTGTGCCTGGGGGCAGAACTAGACCCAGGGCCACTATTCCCATAACTCCTCTCTCATGGAATTATCTCAAGTGTTCGTTTGCCAGCCCTCTCTCCATCAGGGGTCAGATTCCATGTCAGCCTTATTCACTATTGTATGCTCAGCCAGGCACACAGAACACATTCAGTAAGTATCCAGTGAATAAGTATGCACGGTAATACAAGTAACAAGAGTTCCCAACCCTCTCTCCTGTCGGTGGGATTGTTCTATCCAAAGCCGGGCATGACAGAGATGCTCTAATAGAGATTCCTGCAGCGGAGAAAAGAAGAACCAGGAGGCCTCTATTCTTTTTTTAACAGATAATATACTTTGGGGGCGGGGGGGGGGGGGGGCATGTCCCGTGGCATGTGGGATCTTAGTTCACTGACCAGAAATTGAACCTGCATCCCCTGCATGGAAACGTGGAGTCTTAACCATTTGACCACCAGGGAAGTCCCAAGGCCTCTATTCTGATTTTAGTATATTCTAAATAGAATTGAAATGATTGTAAGTTATATATGCTTCTCACATCTTATAGATTATTTTTTCCTCTTAACAACCTAGTAAAAACAAGCATTATTCAAATTTAATATGTTAATTTCCAGTAGGTGAAACAAAATACAGTAATTTTATGTTTATATTTAGGCCCTTGCAGGAGCATTTTCAGGCTTCCCAGCTGGCACCAGTGGTAAAGAACACACCTGCCAATGCAGGTTGATGTAAGAGGCACAGAGTCCACCCCTGGGTCAGGAAGATCCCCTGGAGGAGGGCATGGCAACCCACTCTAGTACTCTTCCCTGGGAAATCCACGGACTGAGGAGCCTGGCGGGCTGCGGTCCATGAGGATGCAGAGTCAGACACTGAAGCACGCAGTCAGAGACTGAAGCAACTTAGCATGTACACACGCATATTCTACGTGACCAAGATTCATCATGTTAAGCGTTCATAAGAGTGGTTTTTAATCTTTTCATATGCACATGAAATATGTATATGTATCTATGCATAAGTCCATTTTTATTAGAACATTTGGTCATATTTATCATGGAGCCAGTCTTCTGTCTTGACTCAAATAATGCAGAGCTTTGTAACAGCAGTCCTAACAGCTCCATCACCGCGGCCAGTGAGCCGGGGCGAGGGAGGGGGAGCCGTGCCCTCCTTCCCTGGCGGCTCTTCAGAGGCACAAGGTTTGTCTGCCAGGCTTTTAATTGTTACCAGCACTGGTCTCTGGGTCAGTGGGCAGAGGGTGGAGAAACCCTGAACTATCTGCTCTCCTTTAAAAAAGAGATATTGGAGTATAGTTGATTTACAACTGTTTTATCTTCTCTTGAACTGTCTCTATTTCGGAAGCAAAGACCAGAACCGCCAGAAGTTAAAACCTAGTTAAATTCTTCCCCCTCTAGCCCACCTGCTTTCCCCTTAATTTTCTCTGTTATGGCCATGGCATGACATATTAGGTTTCTTCTACATGTATTTTATGAAATAATTGGGAAAAGAAGAGTGATAGGGCCTGCTAGCTAAACTCCATTTTACCAGATGTCTTCAAAGCAGACAGAACATTCAGCTGATTGATTTTTGTTTGTTTTTATAGAGTTGTTTAAGTATGCATTAGGATCATAGAATAAGCTAGTGTCGTGTTTTAAATATGATGCTTAATTGACAGATCCTCCATTTGGGAAAAAAAGACAGCAAGTGGTAAAAGAAATAAATTAGATTATGAATGAATATTGGGTCTCTGGTTTACCAAGTCCTCTAATGGGCCCTGCACTTAGGATTTCTGTTTTTCAGCTATTATTTGAGTAGTCTGAAGGAAATCATCTTTCTGCAGATCTCATTTTAGATTGCAGAGATGATGAATTCTAATAAATATAGAAAAACAGGAGCATATTTAAAAGCTTTGGTCACATTTTCTGTTTAGTACATCACATAACACCAAGCATACTTAGGCATATGATCTTGTTTTTAGTGGGCGAATCAGACATTATGGTTATATTCAGTGTAATTGTTTTTTATTTCACTGCTGCCTGTTTTATTTAGCATTTTGTTTGTTTGTGTTTTTATTATAGCTGTTTCACTCAATTCAGAGAACCTGTCTGGACTTGTCTAAAGCAATTGTACTCTATCAAAAGAGAATATGTTGTAAGTATGCCTTAAGTATGAATATTGACCAAATAGTAAAATATTGGATATTTTGCCTTAATGTATAATTTTATATGTTTAGGAGGCAAGACAAGAAAGCTAATGTTTCAGGCTGTCTATCTTTGCTCTTTAATTGGTAGGTTGGGGTCTTTAAAAATTTTATCAGAAATTCTTTACATAGGTTGTTTATCTCTCAGTGCAAGTACAATAACAGAAGAGTTTGGCGTTGAGTCTACCATGGATAAGTACGTGCCATTTCTTTTCCTAGTTATAAAAAGTTTTCTCAGTTTTATATCATGGGATTTGAAATTTTGGAGCTGTTACTATTTGATTGCCTAGGCTCTCTTTTGTCTAGTTTTGTTCCTTTTAAAATGACCAAATGAAGAGAGAAGGCACATACAGTTAATCCATTGACTGTATTTTGTTGACAGCACTTCTTCCTGAACATTTTTTATGTCAGATACCGGTTTTCTTAGGGAATAAGGTTTTCCTATGGTCATCCCATCTTAAAATCATTACCAACAGAGTTGTCTCTGAAATGCTAAATATCAAGTTGTACGTTGCTCTGTATTTAAATTTCCGTGTGGAGAGCGTTTAAGAGTACAATTTCTGTATTTCCGAGACTAACCTATGAGAAGTTTGTTTCTGACTCCTCAAGCCCCTTTCCAGTAATCACAAATTAACAGGTGGCCATTTTCCTTTATTAGTAATCTTTTGTGAAGACTATTTTGTGGAAGTACAAAATCCTAGGATTTAGAGGCAAAATTTGGTAAATTATCTGTGTTACTAATTACCAGCTATTTGAGCTAAGATGTCTCCAGCGCTATCACTCCAGAGTCTTCAGGCATGAGGTAGTCCAGGCACGCGGTACACTGCCTCCAACGTGTCTCTGTCCCACATCCCGTCAGTCACAGCTGCTGGGCACTTTTCTCAGCTGGTTTGCTTTCTGGTTCTCCTTCCTCTGCCTCTTCTTGGCCACCGCCTTCGTTCAGGCCACCGTCATCACTCTCTTCCTTGACGGGCGGCATCATCTTCCTAACTGGTCTCTCCGCCCCTACTTTTGCCTCCTCCAGCTCATCATCCACACTGCAGTCAGAGTTCAAAGCTGGGGTGATCTGAGCAACAACATAAATGATGGATAGTATTAGGTTATAACCCATGAAGTGAGATAATGTCCCTCAAGTGTGTCTATAGAAATAAGCAAAGAAATGGGGGAGAAGAAATAGTTCTTCCTTATAAAATAATTGAGATTAATCTAGAAAGAATGAGGGAACCACCAAATCACCTAATGGTGATTCTGTCACACCCACAGAAAGAATTGTGACATGCTAGATTCCCGGAAAGATGTTACAATTAGTGAGTGAAAGTTTGAGAGGAGACTGCATCTTTGTACAGTCTTCTGAATTTACCCCCAAGATTTTTAACAATTACAAAAGGAAAAAGAATCTTAATTTTACAGTGGGGAAATCCAATAGACATGACATGAACCAAATGATAGGGGTTAGTTAATATCACCAGTAATGATGTGTGTTGATCTCCTGTAGCCCTGATATCTTACACTAAGAAGGAGACTCCACTTCTGCTGTTTCCTTCCACCAAATCTATAAATAACCCCAGTCTAATCATGAGAAAGCAAATAAACCAAAATAGAGGACAGACCACAAAACACCTGACCAGTGCTCTTAAAGTGTACCAAGGTCACAAAAATCAAAAAAGACAGAGAAACTGTCACAGGTTAAAGACCAAACAGACTTGACAACTCAATGCAATGTGGGATCCTGGAACAGAAAAAGGACATTAATGGGAAAACTAGGAAAATTCACTCAGATTGTAGTTTAAATAGTACTACTGTATCAGTGGTATTTTCCTAGTTTTAATCAGTGTACAACAGTTATATGAATTTCCCTGGTGGCTCAGTGGTAAAGAATCCACCTGCCAATCCAGGAGATAACGGTTTCAATCCTGGGTCGGGAAGATCCCCTGGAGAAAGACATGGCAACCCTCTCTAGTATTCTTGCCGGGGAAATCCCATGAACAGAGGAGCCTGGCAGGCTACAGTCTATGGGGTCACAAAGAGTCGGACATGACTTAGTGACTAAACAACCACAATAGCAACCATGGTTATGTATGATGCTAATGTTAGGGGAAGAAGGATACACAGAAACTCTGTATCCTATTTACAGTTTTCCTATCAGCCTAAAATTATTTCAAAATAAAGGTGTTTTTCTTTTTTTAAGTACATTGGATCATATTGTTCCTCTGCTGAGAAGCCTCCAGTAGCACTTAATGTAAGATGTACACCTCCATACCACAGGTTACAAATTCCTACTGGATCTGACCCAGCTCACCTCTCCAGCCACTTTCGCTCTTACACACCGCGTGACCTGAGGACTTTTGCACTCAGCACTTCCTCCATCTGGGATGTCCTTATCCTCATTGTCTCAAGTGGCCCCTATCTCAGAGCTCAGCTTATTGTTCTCCTGCTCAGAGACTCCTTGCCTGACCACCCAGCCCAAAACAGTTACCTGTCCCTCTCTCTTACGCCCCATCCCCACCCCCCATCTTACCTGGCATTTTACTTTTTCTCTGTTGACTTTGAGTTTTGTACTTTTTATATTCTGTCTCCTGTTCCTTGAACCTAAGCTGCATCAGCGGGGTCCTCATGTGTCTCATCCATCTCTTTATTTCCAGTGGCAAGAATAGTGCCTAGTACAATGAGATCATCTATAAATTTGTGCAAAGTGAATTAATGCTGCCAAGCTAATTGGTTTTATAGTTCTTTGGTTCCCTTTTCAGGGCACGTCTGAAAATCTAATCAGCAATTAAATATGAATAGGTTTTTGTTTGTCTCTGAATTAAGTCCTCGTTAAGTGAAACCTTGTAAGTAGGAACATTAAGAGGGATCTGATACCTGTGTTGCAGCTGAATTTTAGACTTTATAAATTTATTTCAGTATTTGGATTTTAAAATTGAATTTAAAGAATGAACATCCCTTCTTAGAAACTGGAGCCTGAGGCCCCTCAAACTTCCCACCACCCTCTGAGCAGCCCTATCCCATTGATCAGAGTCCAGCTCTTAAAATGAAGCCTGTCTGGCACCCCAGGTTTAATCCTCAAGTGTGTAAAATAGCCAAAACTGAATTCTCAAATGCTCCAACCTACTTAGGCTTGTATAGCAAAGAGTACATTTCACCAGCCTTATAGTCCCTGGGTTGGGAAGATCCCCTGGAGAAGAGAATGGCACCCCACTCCAGTACCCTTGCCTGGAGAAGCCCATGGATAGAGGAGCCTGGCGGGATACAGTCCAGGGGGTCGCGGAGAATCGGACACAACTAAGCGACTAGCACTACTAACACACATAGTAATTTAGGGCCATGAATTGGTTTTCTTCCTGGCCTTGAGCTCCTGTGTTCATCTGTATGTGACTGGAGGCTTGAAGGTAAAGAAGGTGGCAATAGCCTCACACTGTTGTATGCAAAAATATGAAATTGTTCCTAATGGTGCAGTTGCGTGAGTCCCAAGTTAGTAAGTGGAAAGGAAGAAGAATGGAAGGTAGTAAAAAAACAATAACACTTCTTATAGGAATTTTTAAAAAACTACCTAGAACCATGACATATAAGTATCAGATAAGCATGTAAAGTGAAGTAAAGTATACAGGGATAACAAGGCAAAAATTATAGTTAGTTCAGTTTCACAGGCATTTAATTAATGCCCTGAATAAGACTTTTCTGCTCAGCCTCGGGAATCCATCGTTTGGATGAGGTCCCTGTCGAGAAAGCTGGGATTCTCATGGGAAAAATAGACACGTGCCCACCCACAGACACTCCAGGGCCAGGTGCCGAGAGGACGCTGCTATCACAGAGGAGGGGTCACCCGCTTCACAGAGGAAGTAGCTTTTGAGCAAGGCTTTGACCAATGCACTTGATTTTGAGGAAACAGAAGAGGAAGAAGGGTAGTCGTTCACCATCAGGAAAAATGGATTTGAAAAACCTCTTCTCCGTAGAATGTTGACCGTGAACTGCAGTCACAGGTTAATAGGGAAGCAGTATCAGCTTTAACATTCACGTTTGGGTTACTGGTTCCTGGCTAGTGTTTTCTGGTTATTGCTGGGTACGTTGTGTCAGGGGTGGGGTGCATCCTGAAAGAGGTCTGGATTGTTCATGAAAACGGACAAGAATCCTGGTGGCATTTAGAAAACATTTTTAGAGACAAGTGATTGGAAAATGCATCAATACAAAGATGTGAAATGAGAGTAATGTTCAAAGCACATCCCTATCAAAAGCTGTGCTTAGAGAAAAAAGCATTCAAAGAAGCTCAGTCTCACTGCTTGCCTGTGGCTCAGCTGTCAGTGAGAGTGTATTCAGACCAGTGGCTGCAAAACAGCGCACACATCCATGGTGTGGGTGCACCACATTGATTAAGTCAGTCCCTATGGTAGAGAGAGAAAGAGTGTGTTGCTATTATAAATAACTGTGCTATGATTATATCTATATATATATCTTTGTGCCCATTTTACTACTTCCTCAGGATGTACTCCTATCAGAAGTACAATGTCAAAAGATATATACAATTTTGACTTTAAAAAAAGTTTTTTAGAGATTCTTTAAAAAAAAAAGAAAATTTGTACTTTATTTTATTTGTCAGTTGTTTGGCCATACCTTGTGGCCTGTGGGATCTCAGTTCCCTGACCAGGGATTGAACCCACACTCCTTGCATTGGCAGCGCAGAGTCTCAACCACTGGACTGCCAGGGAAGACCCACAATTTTGACTTAAATATTTACGGCCAGATCAGTCAGTAGAGAGCTTATAGCAGCCCCTTTCTTATCAGTAGTGCCCTCTGAGGTTGTCTTTAGAAATGAAGCCAAATGCACACAAATATTGAATCACTTTTATTGTACACCTGAAACTAATACAATGTTGTATGCCAGTTATACCTCCGTTTTATGTTTAAAAACTGTAAGGTCAAAGTTAGGCATAACCAATTCAGATTTGATTCCAGCTCTGCATTTTAAAAATCCGCCAAGTCATCAGCCTGACTACCTGCTGCTACTGCTAAGTCGCTTCAGTCGTGTCTGACTCTGTGTGACCCCATAGAGGGCAGCCCACCAGGCTCCCCGTCCCTGGGATTCTCCAGGCAAGAATACTGGAGTGGGTTGCCATTGCCTTCTCCAAGGCATGAAAGTGAAAAATGAAAGTGAAGTCGCTCAGTCGTGTCTGACTCTTAGCGACCCCATGGACTGCAGCCTACCAGGCTCCTCCGTCCATGGGAGTTTCCAGGCAAGAGTACTGGAGTGGGGTGCCGTTGCCTTCTCCAGCCTGATTACCCACATACCCTCCATCTCCACCCGCCTCCTCCCACCAAATACTTGTGCCGCGGATAAGATATTTGAATTGCTGTACAGTCAAGTGGAATGTTATTCAGAAGGCAGAGATCAAAAGGCCAGCAAGAGGGAAAAAAAGGAGGAAACAGGCCCTATAGGCAGACACAGAAGATTCCCACAGTCATACTCCACAAGCCAACTTTTTCATTTCAGCCCAGAGCAGTACATTATCGGCTCGCTTTTCAGGACAGAGGTCACTTTCTGGTTCTGGTTACCGGGCAGCAAACGTACTGACAGATGTGCTGGAGTGAATTTGATCTCTCCTTTTGTCAATGGAAGGACAGCATGAACGTTAAATGCAGGGGTGGGGGGCCCTACTTCACAGCCCGCCACTTGGATATAATTCGGTCTCGGCTTTGTCTCTAGAAGAGAGAGGATCTTGTGGTTTGCCTTTTTCCTTTCCTCTGTGATAAAAATGTTCATTATTCATGGCTCCTTTCACTCTTTTCTCCATCAGTCTTGTCTCAAGAAGAAAACGAACTGGGAAAATTTCTCCGGTCCCAAGGCTTCCAAGATAAAACCAGAGCGGGAAAAATGATGCAAGCGACAGGAAAGGCCCTCTGCTTTTCTTCCCAGCAAAGGTGTGTGGCCTTCAGTGGGGCTCTGCTGATGGCGATCGAGGGAGGGGGAGTCTCTTGAAAATCTGGGACCCACTCTCTCATGAAGGGAACCTGCCCTGGGTCTTTAGGAGGCTCTTGTCTGAAATTGACAGCCTCCTCTGTTCACAGTTGTTAATCTGTATTCAACTCTAAGATAGCATATATACTCTTTTTCCTTCCCTATTAATTTTGTAAAATGCTTTCATGTCTCTTCTGGTGTATGGTCATACACCAGTCCTGTGAGTGCTGTCCTAGGCTTATATATAGTTTGACCTCCTGCGTTGTTTGTAGCGATCTGTCTGGACCACTTCCAGCAGGAGCCTAATGAGATGGGGCGGAAGGGTTCGCTCACTGCTCTCAGGGGCAGTCGACTTGAGAGGGGTGCCGTTCAAGATGCTCTCTATAGTTTTGCTCAGACGCTGGGGCAGCAGCATCAGCAGCCTCATCGGAGGAGAGCTTATTAGAAATGCAAAATACAACCCCCACCCCGGAACTGCTGAATCCATATCTACATTTTAATGGGTGCTCCAGTTGTTTTCCATGTGCATTCAAGTTTGAGAACCTCTGGGCCAGAGAGAATTGTGGTAAGCCAGTGACTTTCCTTTTTAACACTCATGTTCAGGGTCCATGTAGAATAAACAGGCGCCACTGCAGAGACACACTCGGTTTCTGAGGTGGTGACGTTCCTTCTCTCCTCCTCCTTCCCCAGTAACTAAGAAGCCCCCTTCCCCCAGCGCCATTCACTAAGATTAGGCAAACTTTATACCGAAATGTTACACCTAAATAAGGCTTGGGGGCAGTCTCCAAAAATATTCGGGCTTCAAAAATTTCGCTCACGCAGACTGCCCAACAAATTAACTGTCTCTTGTTAATTTCTCCTTACTGCCTTTCTGTCACAGTGGGCCAGGAGCAGACCCTCACCTGTTCCTAGGAAGACCCAAGAAATCTGGGGTAGGAAAAAGAGATCAACTGTGTCCATTTTTCAGTGGTCCCCTGTCATGGGAATTTTGGTTCTTTCTAATGACATTTGGACCCCAACTTTCATGGTTGAATGGAAAAATTTCCAAGAGTTCTCTACCCCAGCTTTTCAAGAAAAGTGTTTGTTTATAATCTTGAATTGTACCCTTTAGTCTTATTTATAACTATATTCCTTGTAAAAGTAATATATCCTCACTCTAGGAAAATTTTAAAACAGGAAAAAACAAAAGGAGAAAATTACAAACAACTCAAATTTTGCAAATAGAGACTGACTCTCTTTTAACCCCTTGATACAGACACTTTCAGTGCTCACATGCTTTCTGCAGTCTTACAAGGATCATTGATAATTGAAAAACCTTTCATAAATTCTCATGGATATGGTTATCACTAATTTCAGTGGGAAAAATTCTTATATATACCTTCATGCTAAGATTAACATCCGTTTATGGGAAAGACACCAAATACTTGGACATAATCACTCCAAGAGTTACCATTACTGATCATATAACTTTATAACATTGCTATCCAATTATATAGTTTCATACTTATGTAGCAAGCTATCTCACAAAGCATATGGCACCTTAAGTTCATATAGTCTACCTTTGGATACAGACAAAAATATTAAAGCAATGCAAATGATACTGGAAAGTATCATTACAATAAACCTGTACAGCAATACAGCAAACTGCCCTGTATCCATAAATTAATGCGGCTTGCCCAGTGTTGCAATTTGAAAGATGGCCTCCTACAAGATGGCTCTGATGCCATGATACTCAAGTGCTCACCAGGCACATGAACTCGAAACGAGTGCTTTGCACAGTGAAGAAAGAAGGAGGATGATGTAAACTCTCATAAAGTTGAATTCTCAAACCTCAAATGGACATAACTTGGGATTTGCCAGAATATATTTTTAATGTTAACAGCATTATACCACATAATTTTGTATAGTACTGCATACTGATTATTTAGCAAATTGGTTTCTGACCAAATAATCCTGCTTTTTATGTCCGTATATACATTTTATAAAACATCCATAGCATAGTATTTCATCATCTGGGCATGTCATGATGCATTTATCCCAGGCCCTCTGTCCACTCTGTGTCATTTCTACCTTTTTCTACTAAAGAATAACCATCTTTGGACTAGACTTTTAGGTATTCTATTGATTATTCTCATTGGGTCAATTTCAATGAATGGAAACATGGGCTGGTCTTTCACTGAAGCTTGACATTTCCAGTTATTGAATTTTTTCTTGGTCTAAACTCAGTCCCTTGTACCACAAGTGAATGGGTTTTCACCTTTCTGATTTTATGTGAAGCAAGTTACAGGAAAAAAATGATGTGACTTTACACACCTTTTTCTTTTCTTCAAAATATTAACATCTATCATCATGTCATTACATCCTCACAGGTTTCTAACTTTACAATAGTCTAAGAAATGGAGACTATTTTATTCACAAGACTCTATATCAGTTAGTTTTGTAAAACTGGCAAACTCTAAAAGCAGAGACAGAGGAGACCAGAAATGAACAGGATCCTTTGAGGGACAGCTGAGGGCTCTTTCTTTAAATAGGAGCCTCCAATTTTATAAACCTTCACACCAGCGTTAGTTTTACTCACTTTATTTGGTAGTCATTGCTACAACAGCCCATTCAGTTTGATGAAAAGTAAGTATTAAATTTAATCCAGTGGTGATAAAACACAAGCTTACTTTATGGCACAACAATACGTCTTTGAAAACAGCCCACAACATCTAGGTAGGCTGATGTGAGCCAGCTATTTTTAGAGAAGTGCTGAATATTTAATAAGGATGCTTTACAGACGAGGAAAACTGGAGAAAATAGTAAAGGGAGTCTTTTTCCTTTTGAATAGTTTGTCCCATCTATAATCTTAGAGTGCTGTGTACATGTGAGGCACTGCGATGTTGATGGAACTGCCAAGAGCTGACTCCAGCTCACTGACATCATTATTCCCTTCAGCTTAACAAGTTTGCCCTGAAATTGAGATGTAAATACTAATCTTTTATTTTTTTAACCTATGCCCTGCAACTTTATGGAGATGACTGTATTTTAAGTGTATAATTCGTCTGACATTACTCATTTTGAGGAGGAAGATGGAAGAAGCCGTATCCTCCTCCCCCTCCCAAATGAATATTTTATCCAGATTTTGATATGTATCCTGGGTGGGGAAGATCCCCTGGAGGAGGGCATGGCAACCCACTTCAGTGTTCTTGCCTGGAAAATCCCATGGACAGAGCAGCCTTACGGGCTACAGCCTGTAGCATCGCAAAGAGTCGGACACGACTGAAGTGACTAAGCACACAAACATTTTTTAGCTGAATAAATGATGGTATGTTACGAACAATATTACATTATTTTATACTCACTTTGTTGTATGATATACATTCATTTCTGATACAGTATCCTTAAGTTTTCTAAAATGAGAATCAAATCACATGGCGTATCTGAAAGCGCCCAACAGAGTAGACCCTCAGTAAATGTACTTGTCCCCTTCCTAGACCATTTAATGATGCTTCTGCTTGTCCTTCCTTCTCTGTGACTACTGAAGCAAAGAGCAGACGCCCTGGCCTTCACAGAGTGATCCAGAATGACCTCATCGCGCCCATGCCCATCCCTTCTCAAAGGGCCAGGCTTCAGGAAGGCGGAAGGCAGGGAGTGGCCAAGGGCAGAAACGGGAAATGGTCATTCCTTGGTGTTCCCCTGTGAACAAAAGATGGGTTCCAGCTTTAAACAAGTACTCTGCCCAGGCATGAGACCAACATGCCTGATGGAGAGACTCCCCAGAGATACCGTTAAGTAACAGGAATTAGCTTGGATAACCGTCTCCTGGTTGACTTAGAAGTTACATACATTTCAGTTTCTGTGTCTGCAGATATGTCTGCAGCCTGGAGTATGTTTCACGCACTGTTCTAACTCATGAATTTAAGATCGGTAAGTTGTCAAGGATTCAAATTGCTGGCCCGAGAGTTTCAAGACTGTGGCCTTCCCCTCTGGTCTAGGTTGGCTCTGAGAAACCCTCTGTGCCGCTTTCACCAAGAAGTGGAGACTTTCCGGCACAGGGCCATCTCCGACACCTGGCTGACGGTGAACCGCATGGAGCAGTGCCGAACTGAATACCGAGGGGCGTTACTGTGGATGAAGGACGTGTCCCAGGAGCTTGATCCAGACCTCTGCAAGCAGATGGAGAAGTTCAGGAAGGTAGGAGATTTCATGGGGGTTCCTGAAACGGGTACCTGCTGGAAGGTAATGAGACGTGAGTGATTTGAATCCCCCTAGTGAAGAAGACGTAACTCAGAACACCAAGGAGGCAATTAATCATCGCTGGTGTCTCTGTCTGTGACAGAATACCAATTAATGTGATATATAATTCTCTAAGGATAAGATAGAAGAGACAGCTGGAAATTGCTGGGATTTGGTAACTGATTTTAATTGAAGTCAGATTTTCATATAATGTGCACTTTTTTGTAAGTCTGTCACTTCTAAATGCTTTTTCATGCATAACTAAAAATCAAGATTAGATCAAATGAAACTGGAAGGTGAGAACAGACTACTGGGGAAATCTTTTTTAATTGCTAATGAATATTGAAATTAATAGAATAATAATGTTCCTTTGTTTGATGAGAAGGTTTGGAAGCAGTGGGGTTGACTTGTAGGATTAAATAAAGTGGCATTGACTCCATCTGCAGTAGACCCTTCACATATTTGTATGAGCAAAATAGATAGCTGAGGAGATGGCTATGTTCTTAGATTTCCCTGAAATGAATGGTGAGCAGCAGAGGGACGATGTTTCATTGGTGTTTAGTGTCCCAAGTCCATTTAGTTCTTTGGAGATTGGTCATGCAAGGATATGTTACACCACTAGGTGGCAGTCATACACTGAATATTTATGAAAATACAGAGAGGTTTTTGTTGTGTATAATCTTGGTAGGTCTTTGTTTGATCTACTTGGGTATATTTCAGGGTATGAAAGACAACAAAAATCTAGCAAATGTTAGATTTGACATAATACTGTGTCAATTGTCTTACTCATTTCAAATGATCAATTTGTAATTGTGATATTGCTTAAAATCCCTAGATTTCTAAGTACATCATTGCAGAGCAGTGGATGGGAAACCTTTCTGGTATGTAGGAGGTTAGATGGTGTGGGGGGGGGGGGGGGAGATGGGGGGATATATGGAGTGAGGGAAAAGAGGAACCTTCTGTTGCTTAAGAATAGGGTCACCAAATGTTGACCCAGGTATTAGACTGACAAAAATCCTTTTAAAAGGCAAGTTTTACTGTGGTTTGTCATTTGGAATCCCTCTTATATGAAGGGACTCAGAGACCATTTTCTTTCTGATCATAGATGACATTAGTGTTTTCTCAGTAGTCAGTTCCTCAATAAGACAAGTTTCTGAGCTCATGGAAAATCAGACCTGAAAAGTTCCTTAAAGATGAGTTAGTGAAAGAGAAAACCAAGGCCCCAAAATAGTAAATAAAACTTTCCAATGGTTGATAGCTAGATGTTGGAGAGCCCAGGCTACATTTGAAATTTCCTGGCTTTTTAATCAGGCTGGTAATTTAGTTTGTCTTTGACATTTTACTTGGAGATTGGAAGAGGATGGAGTGGAGAGGTGAAAAAGGGAAACAAAAACCCCAACATTATCTGCAGGGTGCAAACCAGTCACTCTATATTTACTACCTCCTTTAAGCCTCACAATAACCAAGACACAGACTTAATTTTACAGAGGAGGAAAGTGATACCTAAGTAACTAGTACAGGATCAATGAAATGACAGGAAAATGAAAAATCAGAATCCTAGAAAATATGCATCATTTTTTCTTCAAGAGGAGAATAAAGGGGAGTTAAACAGCATACCTAAGATTGACAAAGGCATTTTCATAGTTACAACCCTCCTGTGGTTATTCATTCAACATAAATTTACTGAGCACTTTCTGTGTGCCAGGTAATAAATGTAAAATTATTCTGGAAGGCAGAAGAATTTTCATGTGAGATTGTATTTGTTTAGTTTTGTTATGAAGGATGGTTACTAGCTGTGTAAGGATGAATTAAACCAAGAACGCTTCGTCATTGGTTTGAATGTCGAAACATTACCCACTCTCTAGTGTCATCTATCTGTTGATTTTGGAAAATATAGGGTTGTTTTTTTTTTTAATTCTTTGCCATGCAAAAGTAGCTGAAGCAATGCCTTCCTCCACAATCCTGTGTGTGCTGGATTTAATTTAATAGCTGAACCTGGTGTACTTAGAATTTCGGGAAAGAATTTTTTTCTTTAAAAAAAAGGGAGTCTGTATGCAAGTGTATACTTGATTAGACTAGCCTCTCCATGAGGATAGGAACCAGTTTAGTTCTCTTTACTAACAATTCCCAGGCCAGCCCAGCACGTGACTCTAGTTAGCCATGGCCAGATGCCAGCCGTGCCATTTGCATGCCAGATTCATGCCTTCTCACACCTGCAGAGCCTTCCCACCTGGTGCAACTGACTTTATAATGTTTGGGGAATTGACATATATGGTTTTGCAAAGTAAGAAGTAGCTCTATGGGTTTGTGGCTTGCTGCCCTCTTCGGAATGAATTTAAAGCGTGGAGGTTGCTGTTCGCTTGAAGTTCATAACATGAATCTTAACTTGGAGCCAGCCTTAGTGTTTTGTCCCAGCAGGATTCTGTTTTAAACACAGTCTCCATTTATCTCTCCGGGAAAGAGTTACCGAAAGGCATTTCTGAGTCCCCTGCAAGAGCAGGAGTCACTGTGTGTGTTGGGGGGCGGGGGGGGGGGGGGGTGGTTAATTTCCTCAGAGCCAGCTGCTTGCTTCCCTTTTTTTTTTTTTTGGAGTTATTTGTGTTGTTTTTTTATTTCTTTTTAATTGGAGGATAATTGCTTTACAATCTTCTTCACATTTTAGCTGATGAATCCTGAATTAAATTCTATTCTTTGAGTTCATACTTTCTGGGGAAACAAAATTCTAATTCATACCTCACAAGCGGGACCCCTCTGGTTGCAGTCTGTAGGGTACCCTCATATATCTATTCATTCATCCAACGAATGATATTGAAGGCCACCTCATGCCAGACCACGTGCAGAGGGATACAGCGGTGAGTGAGCAGACACAGGGCTGCCCTGCTGTCCCAGGCAGTCACTTGGAGACAGAGCAAGGACACACAGTGTGGCAAGATGAGCTGTAGCCCATGGTGTGGCAGGAACACCCCTGACGTGGCGGGCTTCCTGGAGGAAGTGGCATCTAAACCACCTGTGAAGGATGAGCCGGCGGGGGGCGGGGGGCGGCGGGGCTGCAGAACAGAGTCCCAGTCTGAGGAGGCAATGTGGACAAAGGCCTTTGGGTGAAAGGAAACAACACATTTCGCTCCTTTTAGGCCCCTGCAACCAGAGGATGAAAAGCGAAGTGGGGGTGGGTCATGGTCCGGGCAGGTAAGCAGACCACAGCAAAAGGGGCATCTCCCTGAGGGCCAGGGAGAATGAAGGGTGTTGAGAAGGGCAGACAGGTGATCCAACCTGTGCTCTCACAAGCCTGCTCAGAGTCTAGTACAGAGCGGGCACTGGAAGTGTCCAAGCCTTGAGGCTGGGCGAGCCGCAGACGAGACAGGGTGCCCAGGGAGCGAAGAGCGAAGTGGACCAGGGAGAAATGTCCTCTTCTGACCTCCACCAGACTCCACAGCAGCCCCATGGTTAATTACAGAGCTCTTCATTTTTTTTTAGAAACAAACAATGCATACAAATAAATTAATAGCGAGATCAAACGTACTTTCACTTCCAACTGAGGCTTTTTTCCCCTAGTGTTTTCGAGATGCTAAACAACTTTTTTTTTTTAATGACACACAGTGAGCATGACTGACATGATGAATGAAAAACTTAAAATTAAACAAAGCAAATGATCCGTTTTCAGGCTGACACCCTTTGGGCACAGGGGCCTGGTGACAGAGCTCTGGGTGGCAACGTTAACAAGCATTTATGAAGTGCTGTCTTTGGGGAGGGAGACAAGGTGGGAAAACCTGATGCCGGCCCTCAAGAACGACCCTGCTAGTCATTTGTCCCCTGTCAAAATGACCATGGTAAGCAAGACACCTGGAGGGTGGCGCCTCCTGGAGCTGTCTCCTAAAGACCGAATCATGGGAAATGGTGGATGCATTTCAATGGGTAGAGCTGGACTCCTGTTGGAAACCCCTCCTGACAGTGCAGTTCACCCCAGGCGGGAAATGGATGGGAGACAGGGCCACAGAGTATTTTATGAGCAGTTACAACGTGTGATATATGTGCCCTTTGAAGGCAGAGTAAAAGGGTATAACTTAAAAATAGAAGTCAGCTTCTTGTAGCAGATTACATCAGCTTAAGTTGTGAGCTCACACAAGAGCTTTTGCAGCCTGGTGCCCTTGAGAGAGTCCTCCTGTGGTCAATTAAGTGTCTTGTTTTTCTTGAAAGTCAGAAATGGGATAGAGGGTAATTATTCTAAATGGAATGAAAGCTGTGTTAGGTGTAAGAAAATAGTTCTGAATCCTCTAAAGAGATGAGATGGAAATGTCTATGCAGGCATTTGGATTAGCTGGAGTCCTCATAGACAAGGACAAGGGAACTGGCATTTTAATGAGGGCCATTTATTAAATGTTTTAATGAAATCCTACAGCCTTCATCTTGCATTTCATCACCATAATTCAAAAGGGTGTCGAAAAGGTATTGTAAAGAGGGTGGAAGATAACACACGGGTGTTCTCAGGCTTGTAGCTATTTAGAGTGTTAGGTTTCGGAGAACTGTGAATTCACTGAAGTTGTATTATCAAAGGACATGTTACCATGAGAAGGTTTATTAACAAGTGGTGGTGGCTTAATAGGCGTCGGGTGCAGGGGGAGACCTTTTAGGGCCATCCGTCAGTGGTGTCCCATGCCCTCACTGAAAGTTTGGGTCTGCAGAGCTTGGTCAAGGACTAGTAACGAGCAGTATTGACATCAGAAGGATTTTTCTTCCTGTGGACAAAGACTTGGGTTAATTAATTTGACAGTATCATTACTTACTGCTGAAATCATTGGTCTTTGTCAGAGGTCAGGCTCTTTTAGCAATTGAGGGCAGGTCCCGTGGGATCTGGAGATGCCAAGTAATGCAGGCAAGTCACCGCTCAGCCATCTCCCTGTTCTGTGAGAAAGGCCTTTCCTTTCTGCCTGAGCCATCCAGCCTTTGGGCCTAAACCCAGC